AATCAAATTTCACCATTAATTGATCTTTAATCGACTGAAATGCTTGTGCTCTGTTGACACTTGGTCCGTTATTCTAAGGGAAAAACCTTTGGAATTTGAAACGATGGCTGGTGGGTTCTAATATCTGGGTTTCAAGGTGCATCAAGCTGATGAGTCCCAAATAGGATAAAACATATATCCTAGATTCTACCGATAGCTAAGAATAACCATGTAACATCAAGCTGAATATAGTTTAATTTCAAGACATAAAAATGTACGCGTAAATTAGGACTCATTAGTTACTGCTGGGTGATTTCACGAGCCAGGCCATCCCTCAAGTAGAAATCAAATGGAAAACTATGAGAGAGACGTCTCATAGGAAGTTGTGACCGATGGGACTCACCAGCTTGGGCATGAGGACAGATAATTACTAATAATACTGTGTGACAACGGCTCTATATCCTGAGCTGGCGCAACTTCGAATTCATGGACAACTGTATTTTCAGCTAGTGCACGATAGGCAAAAGGTTCTACGTTTGGTTCCTGGTGGAATCAAAGGTGTGTACCATTGAAAAGTCCTGAACTAGGTTAAAACATCTCTCATTCTGTAGCTGATTTTTAGTAGTTGATGGAAGAATTTACCACTAACTTTGAAGCATTTCAAATATCAGGCGGCAGCCGACTGTGTCGGATCTTAAATAACTGGAATCTCATGCTCCTATGGTACTCACCAGCAAAGTGGCTCCCCAACTATGAGAATAACAATGTTCCGTTCTCATACTCACACACTTGTGAAATCAGTAATTCTGATAGACGTGAGATCAAGACAAAAAGAGCACTATTACTAAGGAAGAATCTTTATCAGATAGATTTCCGGGAATTCTTTTATTTACACTATGACTCTGGAGATCTACCACCATTATAATAGATGATACATACTACTGATATATATGAGTAGTTGGAAAACACTGGCTTAAAATATTTGTAGGCACCACATGAATGCCACAGCCGTAATCATACATCACTTCGATCTGACTAGCCAATCTTTACTACTTGGTGTAAGCGGTGACCAACTACTTATATCAGTGAGTCAGTAGTATCACACATGTTGTGACCTGAATGTTTTTAGTGTCCAAAGGATATTTTGAAAATGAATAATTTACCTTCAACGACAATATCTACAGACAGAAAGATGAACTTGTCATGGGCTCTACTCTGGGCCCGCTTTTGGCAGAGCGCTCATGCCCAGTTTGGAAAACGGAATGTTAAAGTCAACAGTCGACAAATCATTGCTGTACAAAAGGTGTGTTGACGAAACTTGTATATTCTGTCATAATGATTCTGACTTAAATTGTATCTTGCAAGAGTATAGCAATTGTCACTCTTCAGGTAAATTCACAATGGAGTTAGAAAATGAATCAAAGATTCCATTTCTGGACACAGAATTGAGGAGAATAGATGATAGGAAATTGAAGAGATCAATCCACTGGGAATAATCATGGGATGGCCAACTGACAAACTCTTATGGTTGGGTACCTGCGAGTTGTAAAAGAGCTCAATCATTTCAGTATCTGTAGAATTTATAGCAATGACTGCTTGGAGGAAGAGCTCGTATTTCTCAAATACATCCTTCCTCAAATTGGACACACTTCAAGTTTCGTGGAGAAGAACATGGAACCAAATCCAAAGAGAGAAGAACGCTCTTCACTACTGAAGAAAATACAATATATGAACCTAGACTTCAAGAGAGACTTAGCTGCAGATATTCTTGAGAGGAGAATCTTTAGTTCCCTAGAGAATACCTCTCTTGTCACAACTCTAAGAGTAATGTTCTCTAGCAACCCACTGCTTCTAAGCAGTAAGAAGGACAAACTTCCGCATATGACCACTCCAGTGTGTATATATCAATTCGCATGTTCGTGCAGAGCTAGGTACATTGGTCTTCATATGAGAGGCCTTTCAAAACGTGCTAGAAAATATTATCCAGCATGGCTACAAAGAGGAGGCATTGATTCAATTAGAGGCAACATAATTTAACACCTCGTCAACACATGATCACAGCGTTTCATATACCTAAGGCAGTCAGTGTGTTTTAGACTTCTTCGTATCTCAGAAGCCCACGCAATGTGCATCGAAATGCGGAGTACTATGTGTTTAGTGGAAACCAGTCCAACCTCGAAATTTACCATGGATCGTTATTTATTTTTTTCACTCCGATCACCTTTATTTCAGCCATTTGAATTACATAAAGTTTGACTTTAACCTCTCCATCCTTGACATAGTGTAATCTTGCTTGTCTCTTGTTTCTATAATTTGAGCTGAATTCAGTACGCTGTCACCCAATTTACTAGTTACTCATTATCTTACGTCCCATTTGCGTTTAATACGTAACTCCTTTATGATTCTACGCATTTTTTACTTTCTTTAAACTTGATCTCCCTGTGTAACAACTACATGATGTTCACTAGCTACTGGCCCTATTCAGGCAGTGAGCTAGGGTTCTAGTAGGAATCCGTGACCAGTAGGGGCAGCGGGTTGAAGGCGAGGCAGTAACTCATCGAAGAAGACATTGCGAAGTGGTCGCGCTATGTCATTAATTGGCAGAAGTTAGAATACAAGAACCATTGAATCTGGTCCCAACGGCTTACTGGTCGACCAGAAGGTCCTGAGTTCAAGACCTGGTGGTGGGTGCATCTTGTGAAGAGCCCCAAACTCGGACGAAAACAGTTTTACAGTACTTTCAGGTTTTCTAAGGGTTCTCTTACTGATGTCGGCTCATAATGAAATCCTCCTTCAACTATATTAGCGTAATTTTCTGAGCACTGTTCACTATTCACACTGCAAACTCGATCGACAGAATTCAGTCCGCACCAAAGATAGGACTAGACACACACAATACACTAGTTACTGACTACTGTCCAATCAAAGTATCCAACACAGTCCTACAGGAGGTTTACCGCGATCCCGAATAGCTCAGTGGTAACGTCTCTGACTGCAAACACTGGCTGGTAATGTAAGTTCGAATCTCAGAAGGGAAATGAGTTCCTTCGAGGCTGCAGATACGCTATTCTGACTGACCGGTGAGTGCCAAAGTGAACACGAAACCTAGGTGGAAGGCTTCCTGATGATTGCCTCCAAATATCTAGTACCAAGTGTTCACTGAGTTCAGAACTTCCTGTCAACTGACATCATGTAAAATTTGCAAATAAGTTAACACTTTCCTGTACATGAACTTATTGATAATTTATTTAGGCTGTAAGCAGCTGATGAGAAGCCAGCGAAATAAATGATGATACAATTGTTGTTCTTGCTTTAGTCAAACTCATAAATGTATGAAATTTTTCATTTGAATTATAAAAACTATTATCGCAATTTGTTTCCAGGCTTATCCCGCTCACATCTGTATTCGTTAGAAGGCAACTATTTTATATATAACGCAAGTATTTCCTAATCTTGTATAGTTTTGTTTCTAAGCCCCTTGTAATCTATATTTACACCTTTAAACTTTCATATCAAGTTGAAAATTATTATCACCTTCAATCTTCTCCGTCGTCATTAATATGTGGAATCAAATAATAATTGTATTTATGTAAATTTATGTGTAAATAAATGCGAGCAAAGTTCGACAATAGCGTCCCGGGAGTGCGAACGTTCAGATTACCTTGAACGCATGCTAGTAGTTGGCTAAAGAAACCTACGATTATTCTAGTGCGAAAATGAACGCTGTTCATGATCTCAGGTGCAAATTGCACCCATATCACCTTTTTAAATACTGTCTGGATAATGAATTGATAAGACGTACTAGTGTATGTAGTTGCGGTGCTTCAATGAGCCTGAAACCGTATTCACAGGTCATTGATGGATATATATTTAGATGTACGGAGTGTAGGAAACGAACGAGTGTTCGTACTGGTAAATGACAGGTTCATTTAATCGTCTTCTAGGAACTCTCTTTGCAAAATCGAAACTTTCTTCGACGAATATACTGTTTCTATGCCTTTACTGGATTTTGAAGTTCGGAGTGAGGTCAACAGCCGCTCAGACAGAAAATACCTTGACACCAACTATGCAGTGGTTTCAGTTTTGTCAAGATTTGGCGTCATGGAAAATGAACAATATTACACAAGTATTTGGAGGAATCGGTGTTATCGTTCACATCGACCAAACACTGCTGATAAAGAAGAAATACAATCGTGGACGTGCTAGAGCTAACAACGGTTGGGTATTGAGAATTTATGATAACAAAATTCGGAAAGTATTCATTGAACTTATTGCAGTTAGGGGTGCCGACACTCTTCTGCCTATTACTCAAAGACTCGTTTCGTCTGGCACTACTATCCAGACGGATGAATTGGCAGGATATAACCACTTATCGGGTTTAGGATCTAATCACAGTCGAGTTAACCATTCCGACGATTTCGTCGATCTCACAACAGACACTCATATTAATTCAATAGAGGGCTTGTGAGGGAGATTAAAAAATAGGTTAAGAGCAATAAACAGCTCTCAAAACCAAGTTATTTTCAGTCGCCTGGATGAATATATGTATAGAAATTGGCCAAATTTCAAAACTGACACTCCTCTTTATAAGTGGGATATATTTTTAACTCATATCAAAGAAAAATACCCTGTTTAATGTTTTCTTCATGCATTTTTATGTAAATATACGTAATTTTTGGTTCAAAAATCCCTCACTTTTCTGATTGGTCGGATCAAGGTCACCCATGCATTCGCATCCCTTTGGACAATATTGTTGAATTCGCCTAAATGCGATTGTACAGCTGCTTTTGAGAATTAAATCACGGGAAAGATCAACAAGTTTGCTGAACTCCTAATTCTTTAGATTCTATTCTCCTGATGGGTATTTGCTAGGATCTCATTGGAAATTTTTTATTGATTTTACACCTTCTCAAACGGCATAATTTACAAATGCCAAATTTTAATGAATCTCTTTTGAAGATATACAAAAATTATGATCAGAAATGTTGAAACAATGTACAAAGCAGTTAAATGAGCATTACCTGTGTCACCAAAATTTCCAGCACTTTTATTGTCTTGTCACACAACTTGACAGGAAAACATTTTGGATAGTTTTGATAAACTGGATTTAAAATACTCTCCAGATGATATAAATGTTCATCAAATAAATAATTAAATTTACTGCAGTTTTGTCTTCTAACCGATAGTATCTCATTGATCTCCTTGGCTCTATTGATCCACTGATCAATTTTGTTTAAATAATCAGTCAGTGTAGCATCAATTGTATTCGCTTGATATGTAGATACCTCAAGAGTTGATGTTATACCATTTTGTGGAAAAGGTTTAAACATACTCATCAACTGTTGTAAATCTTCATTCATAGCTGTTGTAGAATAGGCGATTGTGTTTCTTCGAGTTGCATTAGCCACTAATGCTTCAATGTTCAACGTCGATGCTGTACCTGACGGTGATGGAGTTGATGTTGACGATAAAGTCGGCTGTAGATTTGTTTCACTGTGGATTTGAAAATTCTGCAAATGCAGTAAACTTTTGATCATATTTTTAAATCCTTTATGCGATTGATGCCATGCACGAACTGCTTTTTGTAGAATTTCAAAACCGATGAAGCCATTATCGTTCAGATAGATGTGTAGTCGTTGAGTAATATTGATCACACGATCAACAGCTTCATTGCCATCACAGTTCTCACTGTTACCTTCCGGACGCTCATCTCTAAAATATTTAAGATCGCAGTTATTCGGGAACAGGAATATGTATTCAAGCGACAATACTGACACAGAAATTAGGGAATATAATGTAAGCAGATACGTTACACTTTCGGTAATTTCTCACTAGATCTCATAATTACAACAGTAAAACTATGAAGCATAGGCCACAATGTGCGTCGATGGTTCAGCAACAGAATACTCGCCAACCACGCCTCACGTCGTCCGGGGTTCGATTCCCGGTAAAAATTGAAGGTTCAGTATGAGGCTAGTGACCCCGCCTCATAACAATAAAACCGTTGCTGCCTAAACTGAGAAGTTCAAGCTCTATGTTCCATTCAGAACGTAATGGAATAAGAATCAATAAATAAAACAGACCACTGTGGAGAAAATTTATTTTGATAAAGCCTCACACTGTTACACAGTAACACTTACTAATGACGTTCCGAGAACAATTTAGCATTGCTCATAATCGTATCAAGTTACTCACACAAATTTCCAACTTCGTTTATATAATTCCACTACTTCTCATCTCTTGATTTGATTGGTAGTAATACATTCCATATCTCCGGAATTGGTGCTGATTCATTTCTGTTGCATGTGTCGGGTGTATATTCGATGAACAAAGATTCATTAATCAACCTCTCTCTCCACCTACCTATAACACTTTTAGAATTACAAGTTTGGTCATGAGGCGATATCAGTTAGAGAACCACTGAAAAATCAGGGAGTACTAGGCAGTTGTTTCATCTCAGTTTGGAACTCTTCAGTGGTAAGCATCCAGTGGAGTTCGGACCCAGAACTTTCTGATGATAACGCGAATTCTTACACCATCCAGCCACTGGCACCCAATCCAACAGTCCATGAATTCTAACTCCTGACAATTCATGATATATATTTAGAGCAACTGCCATCCAGTGTCATAGACGAGTAACTGTCCTCTTGCCTGACTTGATGGACTCCTCTGATAGTTAAGACTTCTCAATAGAACCCCAGAGTAATTTCTTGTACAGAGTCAGTCACTAGTGAGCATCAGATAAATTATCAAGTCTTGGCTTCTAGGGTTTTGGTTGGGTACATGTTATACCACGAAATGGCAGAAGTTGGAATTCATGGGCTGGACACTGAGTCGGGTTCCAATGGCTGAATAGTCTACGAGCTCTCCCTGTGACCAGAAAGTCATGGGTTCGATCCCTGATGGTGAGCACTTACTTCCAAAGGATACAGCTGCCCAGAACTATCTTGTTTCCAATGCTTCTCCAGCTGATTTCGACTCGTGATCAAACCTGAGTTGCCGCAAAGAAGCAAACATGACTCACGACATGTAGGTTCAGAGATTCTCTTTGCATAAAGTTGGTCGAATTCAAGTGACAAAAATTTCACGTTAGACTGTGGTATTCATCGATTTCGTTGTAATTCTAACAAACTGATTACATCACTAAAGATTACTGTCTCCAGTCATTATTTCATTAGTTTTTGACATTTGGTTATAGCCAGTAGATTTGGTATTTGTCAACAAGGTGTGTTCTCGACACAGAGATAGAAAGAGGAACTTGAACTTAAGTTAGCCGGTGAGGACGTCACAAGCTGAACTCCTGAAATATCGGTGCCATGATTGATTACATTTTTCAACAGAATTTGGTCAACATTTGTTAGTAATCAGATAAAGGGTTAATTATTTAATTTCTGTATATATATGAACAAAATGTTCCCATATTGAGTCATAAGAAAAAGACATAAACAGCGAAGAAAATTTCCGTTTCGACGATTCGTTTTCATAAGCTGTACAATCGTAATTATATTTAACAAAGAAATCATTAGACCAATCAGATACTGGCAAAATTTGTCCTCCGAAAACGTATTACGTAGTGTAAGGTGCAACCTAGAAGGGGTGACTAATTGGAAGTTAGAAAAGAGGCAAAAGTTGGCATGACGTAATAAGTGTGAGATAATGACTGATCAGTAAGCTCGTGTAGAATGGATAGGAACTAGTGGAAAGGCGATAAAGTGTTTTCATATAAAATCTGTATGGAAAAGCAATGTTGTCAAGAAACAGTAATAGAGTGGTAATAAAATATGGATGATTGGAATAATAATGATAATAAAATAATAGTAATAATACTAATAACAGTAAACTTACATAGTAGAAAAGAAGCAGAATTATAGTAAGAACGTTACTCTGGTCACGGTAGGGCAAGTGAATGTATGTAATGCTTCAGAATGCAGAGGTCGGTTTTCAGATGCCGAATAGCCAATGATTCAGCTATGTACAGATGGCATATGCAAAGTCCCTTTGTACGATATTGAGGGAGATTTTCGATATCGAGAATTGACAGGGTGTTCGCGGATGGAGCTGCTAGTATTCTTCTTTTCTCCTCCGGCTAGCTAGCCAAGCTGGACAGTGTTCCAGAATACGTTTGTGGACTTGACGTTGCGCACGTTAGACATACTTTGATCCACATGAGCAAGTAAACTGATAAATACACAGCGGTATCTTATCCTTAATGTTAAGCTTGATTAACTGACTGCTGGAGAATGTGATTCGTAAGGTAGCTGCTTGAAATGTCTTCTTCAGACATTTATAAATGCCTTTTGTTTTTCATTCATTAATAAATACAAGAAAACCTTTATTATAGTGAATATCATATATCCAATGCCCAAATTTTTTTCAAACTGTTAAAAGTGAACTTGGTTTGGACATATATAATTTAGGAAGGCAGTTTCTGAGAATTTCCACTGTGATGTTACCTTTGAATTCCAGGTTCAAGAAGAGAGTTTTCTTAGGAACAGTTGTGGTTTTTGGCGATGAAGCGTTTTCTTTCATATTTTTGTCTATGAATCCTGGTGGACACCCACTCTCTAGTAGGGTTTCACGTAAAAAATTAAAGTTCTTTCTCTATAGTGTCTTCGGAATAGATTTTTATACTCCTCGGACTTAATGTACGTACTAGGTTTTGCTTTCGGATCAGTGGAACGAAGCTTTGGAATTTGATAAACCGTCCCGTCCACGTTTGCCTGAGACATATTGATCTTTGGATCGTACAGTCTTGTCTTCTGTTAAGTAATACATCTGATCAGTCTTATGATTTCTTTGTTAAATATAATTACGATTGTTTTTACGAGTTGATCACGGATTGATATCAGTTAGAGAACCATTGAAAATCAGGGAGTACTGGACAGCTGCCGTTTCATCCTAGTTTGGGAATAATCGGCAGTACGCACCCACTGGGATTCGAACCCAGGGCCTTCCGGTTACAAGGCAAGCTCCTATACCATTTAGCCACTGGGGCCCGATTCGAAGGCTCATGAATTCTAACTTCTACCAATTCGTGATTTAGCGCGACCCCAACCAATGTCGTTGGTGAGACATCCATCCACACACGTGACATCTAATTGGACCTCACTGGTCACGACTTCTCACTAGAACTCCAGGAAACTCCATCCTGTTTGGGGTCGCGCTAAATCACGAATTGGTAGAAGTTAGAATTCATGAGCCGTTGAATCGGGCCCCAGTGGCTGAATGTTATACGAGCTTGCCTTGTAACCGGAAGGTCCTGGATTCCAATCCCAGTGGGTGCGTACTGCCGATGATTCCCAAACTAGGATGAAACAGCAGCTATCCAGTACCTCCTGGTTTTCAATGGTTCTCTAACTGATATCAATCCGTGATCAACTCGTAAAAACATAACTAAACCTTACAAACGAAACTGTAGAAAATTACGATTGTATAGCTTATGAAAATAAATCGTCGAAAAGAAAATTCTCTTCACTGTATATATATATATATATATATATATACCTCATCTTTCCTTCTTCTGAATCAGAGACTCATTACTGTGTTTTAATTTATTTTCAATACAGGTTAGACTCATCATTCATTATTATTATTATTTCCTTTAATTCCTAGAGGAACATAGGGCTTCAGCCATGCGTCTCCATTGCGTTCGGTTCTCTGCTAGAGTTTTCACCTGGCTCCAGGTCTGCCCACATGCTTTCATCTCTTCTTCGCATGATCTCCTCCAGGTCACCCTTGGACGACCAACTCGTCGCTTCCCTTTCGGGTTCCACTCGAGGGCTTGTCTAGTGATGTCACTTGCTGGTTTCCTCAGAGTGTGGCCAATCCATCTCCATTTCTTCCTGCCTATTTGTTTCACAATCGGTTCCTGGTTGGTTCGCTCCCAGAGATCTTTGTTGCTGATCCTTTCCGGCCATTTGGTCTTGAGTATTGAGCGAAGACATCTGTTAATGAAGGTCTGTAGCTTGTTTGAGGTGCACTCATCATTCAGGAGTACTCCAAACTGTAGCAAACAAGTGATAGTTTTATTATCAAGTGTTGGTATGAAGGTTCTTGATTGTTTGTAATTTTGATAACATACTAACATAAGTTAGGGAATCACTAAACACCACAGAGTACTAAGTGACCATTTCATTCTAGTCTGAGGCTCTTTAGTAGTGCACACCTAAAACGCCCCCTGGTGACCAAGTCCAGAAACTTCAGATGAGGCCACTGAACATCCAGCTACTGAGAAGGATTCCAGTGGGTAGTAAATTCTAACTCCTATCAATTCCCGATGTGTATTAGCCCACAGTCGGCCAATGTCATCAGTTTTCACCTTAACTGATAGCCTCATTATATGAAAGTTCCGAGTTCGACCGTCCCCCCCCCCCTCACAGTGGGATCTTATTTGCCCATTGTTGAAGAGTTCCAAACTAGGACGAAATGGTTTTCCAGTATTTTCTGGTGTTCAGTCTTTCCTTAACCAGTGTCATTTCATGATTGAACTTCATATCACTTTATTGATTGAAACATCAATAAATGCAAAGTAAAAATTACCTAATATAGAAATGCTTGTGACTTACTTGACATCAGAGAGTAATGCATCCCCAGCGTGTTTGCAGTTTGAATCATTCCCATCGGTTGATTTCTTGCTGCTTTTGTCTTTTCCTCCTTTTTTCAACTGAAGATTAGATTTTTGAATAAAAAGCATTAAGCCGATTGTAAATATTTTTATATTAGTAAGGAATTAAACAAAGCAAAATGATTACTTATTTGTATTTAAGTTGATTTGAATTTCCCTCTGATCGATTTCTGTATAGGATTTAAATACTCGGTCTCCGTTGACGACTTGTTAGCACCTAGTATGAACACTTCATTTATGCATTTAGGTGAATATGATGTCATTGGGCTGGTGGTGCTTGTGCGCCCAAGTGGTTCCACCCCCCCCCAACTGGGAAAAAGTGCTTATTCTGTATTCTACTTCTAATCATCACCGACCAACTGAACTGAATACATCGTTCATAAAAAAGTACCAGCTTATTTTGCTATTTTAAGGAGATATCTGAGGAAATATATGCTAACGGATAACAATGAAATACTACCTAGCCTAGCATTCACTGAATGCCTACCAGAAAACCAGAACAAGTACTCAGTGTTCAGATATTCAACTCCAGCTTAGTACTCCCTACTGTGAACATTTAATAATATCATGTGTTAGAATTTATGGATCATCGCATTCTGACGTGTGCGTCGGTGGTACAGCGGTAGAATGGTCGCCGAACATGCATGTGGTTCCGAGTTCGATCCCTGGAAGATGCATCCCTAAACATCACTAAGCCAGTAATAAGACTTGTAAAGAGGGAAGGTTGGGCATGAGGCTAGCAACTTCATCCCGTGAAAACAAACACCACTGCTACAGAAACTTCAAGCTACTATCTTGAAGGCTTATGTTCCACTGGGAACGTAAAGGAATAAAAAACAAACTAGTATTCCTACAATGGTCAGAGAAATCAGCTCTTAACCTCTAGTCCCTGGATTTAATCCTTGGTGGAGTCGCTAAAGATATTCAAATTACGACGAAACAGCCATTCAGTACTCCATGGTTACAATGGTTCCTTATCCGAAACCATTCAGTGATCAAACTTGAAATCAGTCAAATCCCTAAAAACAGAAATTTGGAAATACCAAGTGTAATTCAATATGTAATCATCCAGTCATGTGATCAGAACAGGATTTCAGTGATCCATCTCCATTAACTGACACTTTGGACCTCTGTGTGATTATCATACGGTTACATGGATCAGCATACGTTCTCATTTTCGAAATAGAACACAGATACAATAGGGGAGGGCTACCTCATAGAAATGTGTTCAGTTCAAAGCAAAATAGGTTAGTGATAGGCGCTGATTAGTTATTTGTATTGAGTGGTTGGAGGCAATTGGCGGGAAGCCTTGGACCTAGGCTTCATGCTCACGTTGGCACTCACCAGTCAGCAGGGTGTATCTGTAAACTTATTGAAGGAAGTCATGTCTCTTCTGAGATACAAATCCGCGTCATCCACTGCTGCAATCAGAGATGTTACCACTCAGCTATTCAGGTTAGGGCTTGACCTCCCATCGAACTGTATTGGACATTTTTGATCAGGCACTAGTCAGTAACTATTCTAATTATGTGTCTAGTCCTCTGTTTGGTGCAGACTGAATTCGATCAGTCAATTGCGATCCCGATTATCTCATTGGTGTTGTCTCTGACTGCAGCACTGGGTGATGCGTGTTCAAATCTAAGAAGAAATATGAGTTTGTCCAAGGTTACAGATACGCCTTGCTGACTGACTGGTGAGTGCTAGGTAGCGCGAAACCTAGAGCAAGCAGAGCTTCCTGCCGACTGCTTACAGCCATCTAATATCAACGTTCACAGTGCACCGTGATGGTGGTGGCCACGTCGCAAACTTGACTGATCGAATTTAGTCTGCACTAAGGATAGGAGTAGATGCATTACACAATTTACTGACTAGTGTCCAATTAAAAATTATTAGTTATTCACCTGTGAAATGGATCAACATTACCTAAGTTTAAATGAAAGCTGAGGACAAATAATCTTGAAGCAAACGATTTATCTGGTCGCTTAGTCATTATATAACCTGCCACATATCAGCCAAGTATCAGTGTACACATCTATTAACGGAGCATTTCACAAACGAAACTTATAATCAATGCCCGAGACATGAAAAGTGTACTATTGTCCTCATTTCTGTTAACCGCACAATAAATCAGTGTTAAAAACTTTTCTAATCCTTCAAAAAACACGTTGATCTTACTACGCCTTATATAGGACTGAAAGTAACCGGCATATTGTTAAGTTATTCAAAAGACATAGAATTATGGATGAACTAGTATTTAGACACATTTAATCTCATTCATTTTAGTAGCCTAGCAACAAGCCTCTAACTGCTAGCCCTTGGTTAACTTATATGATATAATTAAGGTATAAGAAGAATTTGAATACTATTCATTTGATAGAACACTTAGTAGTAATATAGTATGAATAATTGAATGACATTTCAAGCACAACTTATTCCTCATAACCATATCGAAATGCATTCACATAACTTGCTAACTTGCTTTAGATGGCCTAATCCCCTCGAGCATTTTTTACTGAAGTATTTCAGGTTAGAAGTCGCGTCGTTTTTAAATGCACGTGTTTGGTATGAATTCGAAAGACAAAGATTCAGTGATTTATCCTCGTATCTTTCTCTTTCCGATACACATCCGAAGGGATTTATAATCTCAAATGAAGCTGGGAAAATTGTGTTTTACGCCCACTAATACAAAATAATGAAAATAAACCTGTTAGTAAATATTTGGAAATGAGCTAACGGCTTATGTTCTCCATGAACTGAAACATAGAATGATGTCTAGCTGAACAATGTAACATCTGAAAACTGAAACAACAGCTCATACATTAAGTTATTTATTTTCTTTCTTGTTGTAAAAGATGATATTTGCCAAGAATTATCACCTTTCAAAGTGTTTTGTGTCAAGGAAAAGTTTGGAAATAGTTTTTCTCGAAATTGAATGCGTTGTTATCATAAGGGATGCCGACAGTCATTTCTGACTGCTCACACGCTAACTCTCAAAGTCACTGAATATGATATTTTTGAAAAATTAGCTATGAGATATGCAGCTACAGTTCTGGTAGTCTTGATCGAACGGCATCTATGTCATTCAGAGTGTGTCGCCTTAGTGTACATGAGTTAAGGGATATGTGATTTCGTCTGAGATGCTTCCAGAATGCTTTAGGATATTCATGTTTTTGATGTAGTTGTGTTCCCTGATCTAGCTGGATGGTTTATTTGCAAAGCTTTCATTGCCTTACTAAGCAACATCTTCAGCGCATACTTCAATTCGTTGAAGTGAGCTTTTAGATTTCTACACGAGTTTATTAATCATCTCTCCTGCTCACCTTGAACATGATTGGTTGTCTTCGTGTGTTTCACACCCTCTGGTCTACTTGTATTGGTAATGATTGTTTCCTTGACCTGAAGTTTGATGCTTTGTGTGTGAGATTTCCTTCATATCGACTGGTAAATTTTGTCTATGTCAATGTGTCCATTGATTGACGATTCACTGGAATACCAGGCTTCCGAAAATTCTCTAGCATTCTTGGTGTTTCCTCTGTCTAATAATTCAACGTTGGTTGTCTGTACGCAGCGATATGAGGCAGTGGATGTCATTTCTTTTGACGGCACTTTATATTCAAGGATACAAAGACGAAGAGGCCGTCCACTTTCCCTAATGTTTATTTTCATATTTATCCAGATAATTCTTCCAGAAGAAAATCTCTGCATTCGCCTCAGCAGGCTTATTGGACAAACATAGCAACTTGTTCAGTCCCTCTATTGTCAAACGGTCATTGCTTCTCTTCACACCACGGAATATACACATTGGATCATAGGAATGATTAAAAAGACGGTTGCAGAGAAAAAATTTTCTTTCTGACAAAGTTATCAATGAGGCTGTACATTCGTGTATTTATAGTATATATGTGAGAAAGTTCCAGCAAGCTGATTTCAGCAAACACTGTGTCCTGGGTCACAAGGTGGCTGTCTTCTTATTTTTCGGGTAGAAAACGACATAATATTTTGAATGGAAAGCGCTCCAGGTCTTTCCTAACAGGAACTGGTGTGCCCCAAGGTGCTGTACTCCCTCCATTTTTTTGTTTGTTTCTTTTTGAATTGCCTTCCATATGCTTCCGAAGCTCTTTTCATCAGACATGTCGAAGGTCTAATCACTTCTGTCCCAGTAGTTTCTGCATTGAATTGTTCTTACATTAAGAGACTCTTATCCGATTTCACTTTTTGATTTTAGTTTCAGATGATAAAACAACTTGTGTCAACGGATTCAGTCTCATGATTCCTGTAATACCGACAGCACTGTCAGTCATCTCATATCCTATTGATTTCTAGGAAAAATTTTCGTTTGACTTATTACATAAGGAAGCTGAGAATTTCTACTGGCGTAACTCAACCCCACCTATTCTCTTACAATTTATTAATTCATGTATTCTGCCCATTCAACTTCTTTATTGTTCTCTACAGCTGCTCTTCCCTGGACCTCTCAAAAAAGACAACATCACACTACGTATAACACTGAAGACTGTAAGCAGTCAAGGTTAGTGGTGTTCCTTTGACTCAGCTAACTAACACTGTAGTCAATGGGCATTTCAATTCAATTCTTGCAGGTGTCTGGCTAAAGTTATCTTGTCCCATACTGAATATCATCCTCTGTATTCGCAACTTAGTATTTCCTAGTATGTCTCCGGGGAAGTAACCAGGAAAAACTTCATAAGAATTTATGCTCATACAGTTACCAAATATAAAAATGCTACCATACCGCCATATTTAGCAGGGGGGGTTTGCGTGAAGAGAGAATCGGCTGTCAGAAAAGAACTTATAAACTTTTTAGCTCAGTAAGTGAACTGCAAAGTATAATCAAAGATTATTATTATTATTACATGTATTATCTATGATACTATCTACTTATACTTCATTATGTTTCCGCCAACCTTCAGTTTTTTGTGACTGTATCATTATTTTTTAAATTTTATATATCTACATATTTATTTATTTAGTTTTTTCCCTCACGTTCCCAGTGGAACATAGGGCTTCAAGCTGAAAGCTTG